TGTTTCCTCATCTGAACAATTTGGATAAATTTAGCATCACATCACTTGCTCATCCACAATTGATCCTCTACAGCAAATGGGTGCCGTCAGAATGAGATTCCAAAAAGCTGATAAAAACATAATAATCCATAACTAAGTTTACATTTTATTTTAGATGTACTTTATTCACCCTGAGAGGAACATTCAGGTACAATCTGCTTGAAGATGCTGTAATTTTAATACAATGCAAGCTTTATTCTGTGGCTAAATGTTGCAGCATAAAAATAATGAAGTGGCATAGTATATTGAGAAGAAGGAACATGTATTTTACAAATGCTCATGACTGCTTTTGGGTAATATGTTATATTTCTGATTATAAAATTCAGATGTTTAAAACATTTCCATTAATGTGCATATATTCATTCACTGAGAGAAACACTAGGTTAAAGAGATAGTTCACCCAAAAATGAAAACTCTGTCAACATTCCACATACTATGGAAGTCAATGGGGACCAGAACCTGTTTAGTTACCCACATTCTTCAAAATATCTGCGTTTGTGTTCAGTAGAAGAAAGAAAGTCATACAGGCTTGGAACAACTTTAGGCTGAGTAAAGAAAACATGCCGCATGTAAAACTGAATGTTGTGTAATAAATATAAATATCCACTGGCATTTCATGGACCGTAATCAACATTGAAACTCATATGCAGCCTTGGTTGTCAGAAAAAAATGGCTACTTCTTAAATATCACAGCAAATATTCTTTAACGGAAGTTTTGAGATCACAGTTCAATCAAAATACTGGTAAACAGATAAAACCTCATTGATGCCCAAAACAATGTTCTAATCAAATAATAACAGACATACAAAGTCTCTAATGCTTTAAAATAAATGAATCAATAAATGCTGAGCAATAGCACATACTATAAGGGTACAGGACGTACAATATGTTAGTTAGTTGTTATATTAGCTTCTCTGAAAGAATTATGTTCTATAAACAGACGTGGCATTAGTGCACTTGAATATACAGAATAAACCATTCTCCAGCGTAAATGTCCTCATGAAGC